TTATTCAATGTTATACGAAAATTACATTATGGATACATAATGGAAAGGTAACAAAAATGACAATAATAATGGTGGTGACAAAAAGTTGCATTACAAACATAACCAAACAAGTATAAAAAAAAATTAATATGAAATACTATTGCCAATTTTTGTAAAACTAATTCACATTCTTTTTTAAAACCTCAAAATTTTTGACTTAAAAATTTTGACAGAGTAATTATTCTAACGCAACAACGTACATATAATTATATAAAAAATCACAACATCTTGTAGCTTAAGTTTTGAAGATTAAGCATATAAAATTACATGCTTTCATATTTTCTATAACGTTGCAAATTATAAATAAAAGAAACCCGGTTATTTATGAAAAAAAGTATTATAAAACCATTTATCAGACAGCCATTATCCTGCTTATGCTCAAGAGTACTCGTTTCCTTAGGCCCTTCAAGATTATGTTCAACAATATGAAATGGAATATTCACTTTCTGATGTATTTTCCTTTGCTGAATGAGCATTGTCAGGCCAGTAATGTAAATAATTTTTGAAGTTAAGTTTCAATATTCGTGTAACGAACGCATGTTTAAAAGATGCTAGAGGTAGAAAGTAGAATTTGACGAAGCCTTTTCTTTCATAAAAGTCTTCAATGGGACATAAACAAGTGGCGTGATGTACAAATTATGATAAATAACGCATTTTATTGTTTGTTATGCAAAATTATTTTGCATCACCACCATTATTTTCGTTACATACGGAAACGAATTTCTCCTTGTTTCTACTTCCAAATTTGGAAACAATTTTATTAAAAATTTCCAAAAAAAAAAATTCTAAATGAAAACAAGAATATTAAAAATAGCTATGTAACAAACAATCTCAACAGCCTCAACAACAACGAAGTATTCATCCAGTAATGACAATGACAAAGTATTTACCCAGTTCAAGTTTAGTTTCTTCTACTAATAATGGCAAACAACAACGGCAAAGCATTTACCCAGTTCAAAGGTAGCTTCTTCTATTAATAATGACAAACAACAAAATATTTAAAGGGCAATTCATCTTCATCAAAACTTTCATCAAATCCATCTGAACCAGTCGCTTCTTGAAGTAGGTTTAGAAACAATGCCTTTCGTGAGTTGGAATTTTAATAATTATTTATATTAGTTATGCATAAATTTAAAATATTCTTTAAAAAACGCATAAAGAAAAGTAGCAATAAAACATCCAATAATACAAAAAAAAAAGAAGAAAAAAAAGATGGATATGAATTCTATTAAATTACATTATTCATATTTTTTATAATATTTATTTAAAAGTATAATGAATTTTTAGCCAATAGTTTTGATGCATGTAACCTTTTATATTTTATAAAAAGTATTAACACATTTATCATTTGCCTCGTATACCAAAATTTGTGTAATTTTTTATGTCTTCAGGTAAAATCATGGCTCAATTTTAAATGATTAAGGGTTAAGGGTTAAGGATTAAGGATTAAGGATTAATTACCTTATTAAAAATCTTTTAAAAATAGATATTTGTTACGCCAGATTTTATTTTTAATGGACGGTTTTTTCGAAAAAAAAAAAAAATCGTATAATAAAAGTGCGATCGCTCTTTTCTTTGACACAAAGTTTCTCAAAACATTTAATTATTATAAATAATATATTAAAAAATGTTGTCAGAATCTTTTAAATTCTTAACATTTGCTCTTTTAATTATTACGATTTTATCGAATGTTTTTATCAATGCATCGCCAATTCTCTCAGAAAAACGTAAAGTAGACGACGGTATTGCTTATGCAAGTATTGTTATTGATAAACAAGATGTTACTGTAATCCGCTTTCCACAAATTTCAAAAAACACCGTGCGTATAATTGGACAATTCAACTCTGGTTTTACAAGTGAAAATAAAAATGATTATGAATTCTTGATAGTTGATGGTGTTGGTAAAGTAAAAGTTGATCTTACTGATAAAATTAGATCTCAATTGCATATTAATGTTCCCGGAACCAGTCCATTCGAATTTGACGAAGAACTTACAGTTTTAGATATATTGGGTTTGTTTTTAGCTGTAATATTACAGGGCGAAGAAATCGGAAGAGGTCAAATCAAACGTTAATAATTAATACAATTAATTGTTATTGTTTATTATGTATAATGATGATTTTTAATGTATTAATATTATTAGTTCTTCTAATATTAATGCTTTCTTGAGAATTTAAATCATGTATTTTCTTTAAAACAATTTATATTAAT